GCCAGTTAGATTAGCCCATATCACAAAATCCCAAAATCACAGATGCTGGTGGGGTTGTGGAGAAAAGGGAACACTTCTACACTGCTGGTAGGAATGCAAACTAATACGTCCCTTTTGGAAAACCATATGGAGAACACTCAGAGATCTAAATATAGATCTACCATTTGATCCTGTAATTCCTCTGTTAGGTATATATCGAGAAGACCATAAATCACGCTATAATACAGATATCTGTACTAGAATGTTCACTGCGGCCCAATTCACAATTGCTAGGTCATGGAAGAAGCCCAAGTGCCCATCAACCCATGAATGGATCAATAAATTGTGGTATATGTACACCATGGAATACTACACAGCCACAAAAAGATGGAGACTTTGCCTCCTTCATGTTTACATGGATGGAGCTGGAAAATGTCCTCCTTAGCAAAGTATCTCAAGAATGGAAGAAAAAGTATCCAATGTACTCAACACTATTATGAAACTAATTGTTAGCTATCTTAGGAAAGCTATAATCCAAATGGAGCCCTAGACTATGAGGAAAGGGGAGGGGAGGGAGGAGGATCGGTGAAGAGAATGATATTGTGGGGATCACGCCTATAATTTATCCTATGTGGGTACATGTGAATTTGTCTAAAGGTTGAATATAAATGTCTTAACACAACAATTATGAGAAAGACATGATGGCTATGTTAGCCAGTTGGATGAGAGTTTTCCAAACTGCATATGGAAGCAACACACTGTATCCTATGAGAGAATTAATGTACACAATTATGATCTAATAAAAAAAATGAAAATAAAAAAGTAAAAAATAAAAATAAAAAAATAGAAGAAGATGGTCATAAAATTTAATCTCTTAAAATAAAATAACTTTCAACCCACGATCCTGAAAAAAAAAAAAAGTTGGAGGCATAGGGGAGTGTATGCTTCCAAGGTAAAGAGTCCCCTTTCTTTCACAGCTCTAGCCTTTGCTGGGGAAAGAAAAGAAAAAAGTTTCAAATTAACTGTACTACTGAAAGTTAAAAATGAAAACAGGGTGAGTCTCAGAAACTGACACGGAACTATACCATTGAAAGTATCCTGAGAAATCATGGGACTGGACCAAGATGTTGTTCAGGAAGATGTAACTTAATGAGAGGAAAGGCTGATAACAGACAATTTGAAAGTGGCACTAGGAAAAACTAAGACACTGCTATGTTTGTTCTTGAAGTTTTTCAGAGTACTCAGGAAAAAAAACCAAAAGTGATTCAAGAACAAAGAAGTAGTCAATTACTATATTTTGCCACATATAAGGCATACTTTTCTGCCCACATTTTTGAGGAAAAAATAAGGATGCATGTTATACATGGGTGGTACGGCTCAGGAACAGGGGGCCACTTCACCTTCTTGCCTGGGCCTGTCAGGCACACAGGGTTTCAGTCTGGGAAAATCGCGGATCCAGCAGGAGCAGCATCCACCAAGTGCTGGGATCAAGTGAGGGGGTGGTGGTAGGGCTGGTGAGGTGGGTCACAGAAGTGTGTGGTAAGGGCCAAGGTCCATGGCCAGGCCAGGCCAGGCCAGGCAGAGGGGACTGGAAGCCCCATGCAGGCCCCCAGGACCCGCTTGGCTGCCTGTGGCCAAGCAGCCTTAGAAGCGCCCACCCTGCCAGCCACATGCATGGTCATCTTGGGCACAGTCCACAGTGCAGCAAGGAGGGAAGGGTTTCTGAGAGAGAGGAAAGGGACAACCTTCACAGAATGGGTGGCTGCAGGAGGGTGGGGAGATCTGCACATCTACCAGGGAATAGTCAGCACACCCCAGATATGTCTCTCCAGCTGAGAGGCAGCCCCTTTCTCAAGGGGCATTTTCCTGAAAGTTTGGGCCAAAAATGTGGGTGCACATTATAAATTGGAACACATTTTACACAGGAAAATACACTATATCAAAAACTGCTGAGAAGTTTAACAGGATTAAGACAGAACTGACGTTAGCAGTTCTACGCAATGTGGTAGTGGTAATGGTTGATCAATCCCAAATGGCAGTGGGTAAAAAAAGAGTACAGGAAAAGTGAGGAAACAAAGGTAACAATTACAGACAAGTCTTCCGAGAACGTTAGCCACAAAAGCTTGAAAAAGAAAGAAATAAAGGCAGACCATTTTTAATCATAAGAGCAGCTAAATTTCAAATATACTTTACGGAGATGTTGCATTATTCTCTGGCAATACTCTACAACCAAAATACAGATGGTACAAAAAAACGTAATTTTCTAATAATTTTTGTCCTTACCTTTACTTATTAAATTTAATGTGTCTTGTTTTACATCTTCTTCTTGTGACTGGCCTGGATCCAGTGAAGTCTGAGAAAGGCTAACTTCTGCTGATAACTGGTCAAGACTTTGATAACTTCTCCTGTAAAATAAGGATGAGATACTACTTAAATTTCTTCTCACAAAAAAAATATTTACACAGAGATTCTTTAATAATTTTTAATTTGTTGACTGTCTGGTTAATTTTCCCCTAACATTTTCCTTCTAAATATTGCTTCACAGTCTTAACTTCAATATGATTTCTATTGCACTTTTCCTATCTACCCTCTTTGGAGGTGTATCTGATTCACTGAAAAACAGAAAAGAAAAACAATTCATCAAAATAAAAATCTCATACCAGGCTTTCATTATTTAGATGATTAAGAATGGAAACCTCTGGTTACTACAATTTTCAAAGAACAGAAAAACTACAGGTTACTCTTAATGAAAAAACAAAACTGACTTTAAAAATAATGACCTAGGCTAGGCGCCTGTAGCTCAAGTGGCTAAGGCACCAGCCACAGACACCTAAGGTGGTGGGTTCGAATCCAGCCCGGGCCTGCCAAACAACAATGATGGCTGCAACCAAAAAATAGCTGGGTATTGTGGTGGGTGCCTGTGGTCCCAGCTACTTGGGAGGCTGAGGCAGGAGACTCACTTGAGCCTAGGAGCTGGAGGTTGCTGTGAGCTGTGATGCCACAGTACTCTACCCAGGGGGACAGCTTGAGGTTCTGTCTCAAAATAAATAAATAAATAAATAATGACCTAGCCTCAGCACCTGTAACTCAGTGAGTAGGGCGTCAGCCACATACAGTGAGGCTGGTGGGTCCGAACCCAGCCCGGGTCAGCTAAAGAACAATGACAACTGCAACAAAAAAAATAACCAGGCGCTATAGCAGGTGCCTATAGTCCCAGCAACTTGGGAGGCTGAGGCAAAAGAATCACTTAAGCCCAAGAGTTTGAGGTTACTCTGAGTTGTGATACCACAACACTTTATTGAGGAGGACATAGTAAGACTCTGTCTCAAAAAAAAAAGAAAAAGAAAAGAAAAAATAATAATGACCTACTATTGCTTAAGCATTTCAGAGTTTTCTAATGCCTTATTGTTCTATAACAAAAAATTCCTATAACTTACAATTTAAAAAAATATTGGGTAACAAACATCTATTTGCAAGGAATATACAATCAAGATGATTAACTTCTTTCCCTGATCTGTTTGCTATTGTTTTGAGGCTCATTTTTTTTAAAGACTCATCATTTTTTTATTTCAAATTCATATAAGGGTACAAATTTTTAGATTACATTGTTCTCAGTTCCAATGTAACATTCCAGTTGTACCCTCTCATCTATAATTGATGCTAATACATGGTGGGGGACAGGGGTATGGGGGAGCAGAGAGAGGTAAGGAGGGAGTAGGTGGGATGTCAGGGTATGTGACACACCTCTTAGGGGCGGGACACAATTATAAAAGGGACTTTACCTAACAAATGCAAGCAGTGTAACCTGGTTCTTTGTACCCTCAGTGATTCCCCAACAATAAAAAAAAAAAAGAAAACCCTCACCCAGGGGGTATGGTATATGCCCACACAATTATACTACCCCCCACTCTTCCTCCTGCCTCTGCCTCTATACTAGATTATATTTGTGTTTTATTGTTCATATGAGCATGTAATTTTTTATATATTGGTTTCATATTAACATTGAGTACACTGGATATTTTTCTATTAAGCTCATGAAAAAGTCCACTATATAGTAGGGGATAAATTTAGTTATAAGCAGAAAGTTAATGAAATCTTGTTATTAGCCTTTCCTCAAACTTGGTTCTTTAGAACAAAACTAACTCAAAATATATATGGAACTTTAATGTTATTCATATTTCACATAAGAGAACAGAATTCATTATTACTGCCAAATATAAATGATCTAAGAAAAGAAATGTTTTCCAGGTTCAGCATCTATTTCCCAAGGTAGCCAAAGCCCATCTAATTTCCTAGAAATATATTTTATGATAGGTTTTATAGAAAAGCAAATATGATGCAAGTGATGTATTTCAGTTATCTCTATTCATACATACAAGATAGAGTTAGAAACAGATTTATCAAAAGTACATATAGTGTCTGAATACTTTATGTCCAGTCACTGTTTTGTTTATTAGGACTCTATCCAAAATGAAGAGGAAGGTAGGGTGGAAATAGTCATCTATTAAACTTAAACTAAAAAAAAAGGGAAGAGCCCAGTGTTTACCAAAATAAAGTTATTTTTAATTGTTTTGTAATATAAAAATTAAACTAAAAAAAAAGGGAAGAGCCCAGTGTTTACCAAAATAAAGTTATTTTTAATTGTTTTGTACTTATTATCCATCAATTTTGTTAAGATTGCTTAGGATTTTATAGTGTATATATATACTGTATATATATATATACACACACACTATATATATATACTGTATATATATATATACACACACACTTATACATATCCCATAGAGGAATATATATATATATTCTGTGTATATATATGTAAAACAAATATTTACCTGAATATTTGAAAATGCTGTGATGGAATAACTTTACTAGCTTATAATGCAGCACTCTCACTTTATAATGTGATGACTTTTCAAACATTAACATTATAAAAATCCTTAATTATAATTTTTAAGTAGTAAGAAATTCTCCTATTAAAGGAACTTCTGATAATTACAACATGTAACAGTTATATGAGCCGTATGTTAAGTCATTCTAGTTTTGACCTTGGGGCCTCAGAAAGTATGTATAACTCACACCTCTCTTGACCTAATAAAATACTGTGGCCCCAAGGAAAAATATTTTTTTCCAGTATGGCAGTCAACGTGTTTATCATATCACTACAGAAAGATTTCAGTTTATTTTCATTAAACTCTATTTCTTTAGCTCTAGAAGGAAGCAAAAACACTGGAATTTAAAGAGCAGTTGTAATTTTTTTTCAGTAACACATTCCAAACCTATAAATTTTATTTTCTAAAGTATTTTTTCTATGCCCAATAGGTATCAGGCTTACTTTTTAAATTGAATGAAGGCTTAAGATAAATTTCTGACACAAATTTTTCATTATAAAAATTCTGTTAATATTTTTAAATTAAAAAATTTACATACAGAAACTTTTTTTTTTTTTCAGTTTTTGGCCAGGGTTGAGTTTGAACCCACCACCTCGGCATATGGAGCCAACACCCTAACCCTTTGAACCACAGGCACTGCCAGAAATATTTTGAGTAAAATACCCAGGAGCAAAAAGACACAAAATTCATTTAAATAGTGTTAATGAAGCACTGAGAGTTTGATAGCACACGTTTTCAGTCATCTGGAGGACTATTGTTCATGAGAGGAAAGCAACTCTGTAAAAGCAGCCCCTGCTGAAGCAACACAACAGCTTTCTGAGTGGCCTACTGACGTTCCTTTCAGAATATCATACTTCCCAAATGATTTTTGACCTTTCCACCCTTTAATTTGCCATATTTCTTTGAGTTTATGCACTTTACTTAACCAAATGCTAATGAATGTAGAAATAAAATTTGCTAGACAATGTTTTGAAGCAATAATGAAAATTCCAACTCCAAATTAAGAATAATATCTTCTTTACATGAAAGTGGCTGCAAATGTACCATCTGAAAGAAAACCTGTTCAGTTGCTTTCAGTAACGGTAACAAGTGGGTTTGGCTTCCATATTCTTACCTGTTTTCCAATGTGACTGACTGGTAGCTCCATCGGACAAACATCCTGTTGTTATGAAGTAAACTATCTATCTACAGGAGTTCTGTCCTGAAAAGGTCAAGACTAGGTCCTGTTTTACAATTCTAGCCTCAGCACCATCACATTGTAAGATTTAAATGGAACCCACCAGACGAATCAATCTGATTAACAACTTACTATTTCTCACAATGGAATTTTGAATGTTTCAGGAGCTTAATTAAAACAAAAACCCAAGATGTAATCATGTATTCTGAAAAAAAAAACCTGTAGTTTAATCTATGCCATGGTATTGTTAAATATAATTTAAATTAAATTAAATTTATAGGAATTATATGTCACGGGTATTCAGAATATAATCAGATCCACTACATTCAACATGTAATTATTTAAACTTTTTTTTTTTTTTTTTTTTTTGAGACAGAGTCTTGCACAGAGCATCTATGCTCATGGATTCAAGCAATCTTCCTGCCTCAGCCTCCTGAGTAGCTAGGACTACAGGCATGTGCCACCATGTCTGGCTAATTTTTTCTATTTTTTATAAAGTCAGGGTCCAACCCTTGGTCAGGTTGGTCTTGAACTTATGAGCTCAAGCAATCCTCCCACCTTGGCCTCCCAGAATGGTAGGATTACAAGCACGCACCACTTCACTCAGCCTACTTGGAACATTTTTAAACCACTCAAATATAAACTTCTATACATACATAAGATCGGGTACCAAATAAAGAATAACTCTGAATATATTTAAAGTGAAAGTCATTAAGCCAAAATATTACATTATGAAAAGTGTATATGAGCTCATTATTTCTTCTGATTTTGCAAGCAAAGTGATAGCCACAAGGAGAAACAATGATAAATTTAAAAGAATAAAAATGCTTAAGTACAAAATATAAGTATGATGACAATGAATCTGATATTTTGGGATGGGAATAGGAGAGTTAAGAAAATAACAAAATTATATAACAGATCTGGATTATCTAACAAACTCACATGATCTAGACTGAATACATAAAAAGGATATTAAAACGAATTTATTTGAAACAAAAGTAAATAATGTATCTGTGTGTATAATGAGGGTACATGTTTCATATATTTATTTATGGTTGAGTTTTTATAGTAAACCTGTAATGCTTTAACAGTTTTTTAAAATGTCATTCCCACATTTGAAATACAGGAAAAGATAAAAAATCCAACATAGCTAATTGTGTCATGACTAAGAAATCATGAAATATACTGGAAATCATATTTGTAAAGTTTTATAAAGCTAGAGTAAATGGAAATGAAATTTAAGATCTATTGTGAAAGGGGTCCTTGGATGGGGTGGCGCCTGTGGCTCAGCGAGTAGGGCAGTGGCCCCATATACCGAGGATGGTGGGTTCAAACCGCCCCAGCCAAACTGCAACAGCAACAACAACAACAAAATAGCCAGGCGTTGTGGCAGACGCCTGTAGTCCCAACTACTCGGCAGGCTGAGGCAAGAGAATTGCCTAAGCCCAAGAGCTGGAGGTTGTTGTGAGAGCTGTAACGCCATGGCACTCTACCAAGGGTGATAAAATAAGACTGTGTCTCAAAAAAAAGAAAAGAAAAGAAAGGGATCCTTTGATGAGCAGGAGACAAAATAACAAGCTATCCAATGGTTTGGTGTAAGAAATATAAACAAGACCAACAAATTCATTAAATTGAACATCATATTCTTTTAAATTAAGTAAGCAGGAGGCCAGTAGTAACACCGCTCCCCTAGTTCCTAGTAACAAATTGCAATATAACTTAGTAGGTAAATAAAACAAAACCAGTAGTATATTTTTTGTAACAAATAGCCAGGTGTTAGTCAATCACAAACAGCCAAGATTCAGTCAATCACTGGCAGCCATCTCATCACACCATAACTAAATATGGCACATGCTTAGCTATAGACAATCAGATGATTTCTATTCCTTGATTCCTGTGCAGCCTATAAAGGCTTTCTGCTTCCACTGCTAGGTAGAGCTCTCTGAATCTCTGCTAGTTCTCAGTGCTGCCTGATTAATGAATCCTTTGCTTAAATAAACTATGATAAATTTATTTTGCCTTTTAACACTCTCTTTCTTCTTGAAGTTATCTTTAGCTAGCTGGGAGAGTGAAGTTACACAGTTCTTAGAGTAACAGCTGCAGACATCTCATATCCTTGGTAGCAAAAATCATCTGCTAACATTAAAACTGTAATTTTTTATAGGGTCAATTCCTTTCTCCAAATTATCAAGAGAGGTGATGTTTCTTATTCCAAAGGTTTTGGCTACCTCCTTCATAATTTGTAGATTCTCAATATGTATCTGTTGAACTTATTCCAGAGAAGCAGAGACTCAATCCTGATGAAACACCATGATTAGTTTCAAACATGATTTATGAAGAGCTCTTCCATTCTGAAAATCCAAAGCCTCCATTTTTACTTGAGACAGCTAGGATTATTTATTCAGAACAAGAAGGGATTAGTTGGTCATTTTAACTTTATATAAGGTTCAGAAAATAAATCTTACTAGAGTAGAAACAAAAACGATTATATAGAATATAAACGAAGATTTACTGAGAAGCTATTAAGTCCCAGACAATTTATACCTTATTTGATCCTTACAATTCTGTTAGGCATTTTCCTCAGGCTAACGTGCAGAAAGAAAAGGGTAAGGAGAGGAAGCATTTCTCAGTGTTAGAAGGCACGTAAGTAGCAGAGATTACTTAGTAGTCCTGACGTTAAACTCTAGGTACAGTGTCTCCGCACTACGCCCCAGCTATGTACTGTTTTGTACCAGTCTAACACTTAGAAACAAGGCTATATAAAAACAATACAACATCTGAGGACAGGCCAGATTAACAGATTATACTAGGGAGGAGGGGATGTCCTTTCTTCGGGTAATGGAGTAACTGAGTCAAGATGTATAAAATCCAGATCTACACTAAACAGCTAAATATGCAGTTTCCCTGCCTTCTTTTCCCAGCAATTACTTTTGTTGTTGCTATAATGTTCTGTAAAAACTAACCACTATTAGACATGCAGAAGTCTACTAGAAATCAGTCTTTCGCTTTAGACTTATTAGCTCCTTGATAGGTAGGTAACTCTGTTGGAAGGCAAGGGTATACAACTTCTGGCAAAAATAGTTTACCTCCCACTATCTGGTGTGACAATGTAGGTATTGAAATAAAAAGGCACAGTCTTTTAACTTATCAAGATTTAAAACTGTCATAGTATTTTAGAAGTTAAAAAAGCAGGGGCATCTCATATGTTATACACAGACAAGGTAAATGCAGCAAGTATTGCTATAAATTCAATCTTTCAATTATAAAAGTATAAAAATAATATTCTGCTATTAGTTAAATATGCCACAGGAAGGTAAAATTACACACCAGCTTAATAAAATATACTCTAGTTATTCAGAACTTTCATACGGTATATAAGAGAATTAGATAGCAATCTATGAAATATCCAAAGTCAAAACTTTAGGTTAAACTAAGCATGATTTAGATGTTGAAGAGATTTGTACTGATTTATTCTATAAGTAGTCTACTTTTTCCTATTTATCTGTAACATTCAATGAGTAAAGAAAAAAACATGAAAATTTCTAGCAGTTCTTTTAACCAACAAATAGTCAAATTTATTTTGAATTCTGCCTTTGATAAACGACGTCACAGAGTAAAGCAGTAGAAGGAATGTCTGCGCTAAAACATTCCTTCTAGAAATGTCTGGCTACTAAATGCCTGGTAAAAGGCACCCTAAGAAGCAAAGGTAGAAATATATGATTTTGCCAGTGAAATTTAAACACAAGGATTCTTAAAAGAAGAAAGAAACAGAAAGAGTGAAGGGGCGAACGAGTAGAGAAGAAAAGGAGAAAGAAAGAAAAGAAGGGAAAGGAAGAAAGCATACAGAAGGAGACAGGAGGGAGGGACATCAGGAAAAATGGTTAGAAAATTAGCTAAAGATAGGAAAATAAAGAGAGTGGGAAAAAGTGATTAACATGCAAAGTGGCTAAAGGCCAAAGAAGGAAATAACATTTATAAATTTCAATATGAAGATTGCCTAAAGGAAGACAGTCTAAGATTCTGTAACTCTCTCCACATTAGGACACTATGAGTAAACGAAACAGTCCTGAACATTTGGACAAAGAAATAGGAAAAGGATCTTGTGGCCCATAGTTGAAGTGATTATATCTTCTTTAGTTTCTAAAAATGAGATTTATTGAAAATGAACAAGAGTCAGGTTCACCAAGGACAAGTAAATAACTTTGTATTCTTTCATGAGATAGAATTTTGTGTTTTCTGACAAGAAGGAAGATTAGTATTATTCTTACTACTTATTTGCCAAAGTTAATATAACACCGAAGTTAGAATTCAAAAATAGATGCCTCCTTAAACACAAGCTCATAGATGTAACTGAAAGACAGGCTGAAGATTTAACTAAAGAAGTAGACAGCTGGTACAATGCTCCATAAGAATTCTTGGATATTTTACTTCCCTAGAGTGCCTGTGCTTCAAAACTTAACACAACCACTACCTTAATCTAACCTTGCCACGTAGTCCTAAATACCTGTGCTCTAAGCCAGGGGTTCTCAATCTGTGGGCCACAACCCACAGGAACTGTATTAAAGGCTTATGGCATTAGGAAGGTTGAGAACCACTGTTCTAAGCTAATAATAAATTCAGAAAGAAACCAAAATGGATAGCCATTGTTTTGGTACAACTAACTTTGTAATTAGTTGGAAAAAAAAAGTGTTACACTTACTCATACCACTGTTTATTGTGTTTTCGGTAAAGCAACGTATCCAAGGCAACGGCATTGACATCCAGAGCTCCTGGGGAAGGCCACTGGTTGGTGAGATGGGCAGTTAACTCTTGTCTTGATCTTAAATCATTATTCTTTAGCACAGTCCTGTGAATATTAAGATGGTGAGTGCTTTTGTCTTCACTGTTCTACAATGGCAGAGGGACCTAATGGTATCAATTTAGGCCCCTAAAATTCATCCTTTTGATATGGTATGTAAATAGAATGTGAATGGAACAACAGCAAGGCTGGCTGGAACTATGACTATTTATTCTCCCGTTACATGTGTTTTTTATTTTTTCTCTCATGGCTACTATTTGTGAAAGTCAGACTTCCTATCTTTCCATAGAGATTATTACTAAAGTATTAAAAGACCCAAGCAGCAGTTTACATCTTAACTAAAAAAAAGGTGACATCTTTAAAATACAGGTTATCAGGGCCAACAAAATATAAGATGCCACGTGTATATTTCCTAGCTTCAAAACTCAGAAATAATCTATAAAAGTGACATAACACTCAAGAAAAAGCAATTCTAGTGATTAAAAAGCTGTGCAGAAAAATAAAGAAAAGAAAAATCCATTAGATTCCTATTTTTGATAAAAAGTGAGTACTAATAAATCTTCATGGAAATAATTAAATCAAGGACAAGTATACTGACCAATATAATCCAGTGAAAATGTTTCAATAACAGGATGAAGCAATTATATAATAACAATTCATTATTGTCTTATTTTTATAGAACTATCACTTGTTAGTAACAGCTTACAAAAGAATTGACTTCTTGCCAAAATTTCAACTTCCTGAAGCAACATACATCATTGTCCTAAGACTAATCCAACAGTTGAATTGATAGTTAAGAATAATTTAAAAGTAAAAGTCTTATTCTACCTCTAAAAGGCCTTCAAATGCCATCCTGGCAACCTGCACTCTCAAATATCCTCAGTCTGCATCCGCAGTTTCAAGTGTGCCAATGTTCTCAGGCAGCACATGGGAGGCAGGGAAGGAATACATGCCTGCTACTAACTTCCACACACCGCAGTCCTGTTGCTGGCAGCAGAGAGCCAGTGTGAAGTGCTAGAAGCCTGGAATACCACCTCTGGCTGGTCACCATGATACTAATGAAATAACCACATTTTATACGTCTCTAATAGGCTACTGATAAATAGTTCTGATTTTACAGGGTATCTGTATGCATTTAAAAATACACATTATTTGTTCCACTATGTTCACAAAGAAACATTATCTGATGTGAATAGTAGATTCAGTCTCAGAATGGAACGCTAAAAGCACAGGCGAAAGTCTGTGAGAATGTATCTCATTAAGATAGTCTTTACGTTCATTGCCACAATTTCTTTTCACTGAAAAAGAAATGAACGTTTTTAAAAAGACATTTAAGGTTTTTTTTTTTTTTTTGAGACAGAGTCTCATTATGCCGACCTTGGTAGAGTACTGTGGTGTCACAGCTCACAGCAACCTCCAACTCTTGGGCTTTAAGCGATTCTCTTGCCTCAGCCTCTCAAGTAGCTGGGACTATAGGCACCTGCCACGCCTGGCTATTTTTTTGTTGCAGTTGTCATTGTTTAGCTGGCCTGGGCTGGGTTCGAACTTGCCTGCCTGGCTGATGCTGTAACACTGTGCTATGGGCGTTGAGCCCATTTAAAAATTCTTTAACATTGTTTTTTAATAAAAATAGTAATGCATCACGAGCAATCAGAGTTTTTTTAAGACTGACAGAAAAATTGTGCAAAACATAAATAGGAATTATTGGCCAGAGAATCTGTTATAATAAAATTATTTAGATTCTCTTTATTATTTTAGATTCTCTTAGATTTTACTTGGCCATATATTCCTTTTCTTGAGGCAATCTAGTGCAGGTCACTGGAAAATAACTTCAATGTCATAAATGGCTCACAGAAAATATCCAGAGAAATATTCGGAACAGAATGTTCATCTGGTAGAACTCACTTAATGATAAGCCATTAAACAATCTCCAGGTTAAAATACATCCTGGGAAGTCTTACACCTCATAAAATGGAGCAAAGGGGCAGTGCCTGTGGTTCAAAGGAGAAGGGCGCCGGTCCCATATGGCGAAGATGGTGGGTTCAAACCCAGCCCTCGGCTAAAAACTGCAAAAAAAAAAAAAAAAAGAACAAAGAACTGATGTTCTCCAGAAGTTTTTACACAACAATTGTTCATGGAGAATTTTTGCCTAATAATAAATTATTGTCTCAGACTTTTGTCTTTATAAATCCTAATAAAATTGTTTTTATAGGCAGCTGCCAGGTCCTCTGAAACAGGAAATAAGAGATTTCAGCATAGGGCACAGATGTCGTTTCCATCCATGCAGCATCTGTTTCCCATCTTTTGTGAGGAACATGCAGTCAGCAAACCCTGGTGCTTGAAGAGGGAATGTCCCTACAGAATCCCGTGTAACGATCCTTCACTCCTCCACTACACTATGGGACAGAAAGTGATTTAAGTGAGGTTGGAAACCCCATCCTTGTACTTTGAATTTTGACCAGAGTCCGTTTAGAGTAATACGCAGACAAAGCAGGAAATTCACTCTAGCAGAGGGGCCCTGACAGCAGAGAGACATCCCTGCAGTCCCTGCCTGGAGCCCTCTGCAGCAGCTCGGCTTTCCTCTTCCTACGCCTGTTTCTCCAGTCTTTCCATCCATTCTGTGAGGTGCAGATATCTTGCTAATGAATTCTGTTTGTGCCCAAGAGTTAGTTGTGGTTTACAACCAAGGAATCCTATCACTTTCCTTGGAACAAGCAAAATATACACAAAGTTAATATCAAAACTTTTTCAAAGGCGACCCAATTTATGTTAAAGTGAAAAAATGACGGTATTTGTCTTATTTGGCCAAGCTTAAAAATGGGTTTACCTTAAATTACTCAATAATTTCTATTATTTAATGGTATTAAATCAGTGATAATTAAAAGTTAACATACTTAGCCTCTAGCTTTAATTAAAACTCTAATGCCAAAGTTAGCCAATTTAAAAACTGAAACTCTTCCATATGTGATCGATTCTACTTGTCACTTATCTGTAAGTGAATTTAGCAGTTTCTCATTAAAGTAATGATTCTACAGGACAGTACACTAAGGGAGAAACTGTTACATTTACTAAGAAAGTACCAATAATATATTCATCACAGCTAATTTTAATAAACTTTCCTGTATTTACCTCTAAATTCCTAGACAGCTAATTTCTCTTTAGATTTTCAGTAAGAATTACTGAAGAATATGGCCCCTAAAAATAACAATTCAATTCTGATGAATGTAATGACTGACAATCATTAAAGGAAAAAACTCTTTACACAGATTTTTAAGCTAGACATAATCTCATCAAACCTAACTAGGAGGCAGGTTCTGAACTTTTAATGCTAAAATAGGAATTGAGATGGCAAGTTGCAAGCTACCCTATTAGGAAAAATATTAAAAATTCAAACTCACTTAAATACTGAAAATACAGAGGTTGCAAAAAATATATACAAATTTTAAAAAAGAAAAAGACTGTATTAAAATTGTAATAATATATACTGATAACAAAAGATAAATACAAGTCACATTTGAGCATCTCTTGTCATTGCAGAAGTCAACCATGAATAGACAATTACAATTTTAATACAGCTTTTTTCATTTCTTAAAATATGTATAATACGTGTTTTGGCACCCTCTGTATTATCTCCTTGCCGTTGCTCCTTCAACATTAACTATATCCCTACTATTAGTCAAAAGATTCGAACTCTATTCATCTTTCAAGATCCATTTCATTTTGTACCTCCTTCATGAAGATACTCATACTACTTTGTCCACAATGAGATGACTTGTATCGCTTTGTAGTCAGTCTCAGACAATTTAATAATCAATCATTCTAATAATTTGATCTGTTTTCTGGTTCTTCCCCTTTGATTATAAGCTATGTGGGACTAGCAATTTTGTTACACATTTATTCATTGCAAGATGATTATCAAAACATTAGGAACCCCTTAAAATACCTGTAACTTTGCTCATCCTTTAAAGAAAACAAAAAAACTGGCAAACACATTGCTGTATCTCCTCAATATATAATTCATATGACTCCTAAAAGAAAAGTACTCCAGCTTTATGCTTCGTATGGGTGCTGGTTGACTTCACACACACCCCTCATAAAGGTTAAGATCAAAAGCTATAAAATCAGACTGGATGGATTAGTGACAGCTAAAAAATATATCACAACTAGTATTGAGTAAATGTATCAGGTAGATAATAGAAGATACACTTAAAATAAGAAGACATAATCATTGAAAAGTATCTGTGATTTCCTATCTTTTATTGAGAAACATCCTGATAGAAGAGGCAGATACAAAGTACAGTTTAATTGCTCCTCATACAGAGTGTCCCAAACATCACCATATGTAGGAAAAAATCATAACAGGTATTTGGAATGTGTTCACCAAGAGTGGGAAAGAAGACTGTGTTTGTATAGGAAGAGGTGGCCAACGTGTAGACAGTATTTTGTAAATAGTCTGTAAAATTTTGTAATGAATATTTTGTAAATAAAGGTACATTTAGCTACAATTTCCCATTTTCCCTATGTATGGTGACTTTTAGGACATACCCTGTATTCAAGCCCTCCTAATAATTGGCTTTGGCTTCTAGATCCTTGAAGAATCCTTATTTTGCTTTGCACAAAGTTCTTCACTCGACAGGTAAAAATACATCATTTGAAAGTGAAGTGTGACTTTTTATACATTGAGTATGTCAAAATATGTATCAGTATTAATTTATCCATTGAGTTCTTTAAATATACCCACACTTGCTTGACCTGAACATGTTTGATGAACGTACATAAATTCAAAATAACGTAGATTTATAAACACAAAAATTCTTTTGACCATCTCTGTATGTTGATCAGTTTGTTACAGTCCCTTGGGTCGTCAACTTACAGAGGTTCTACTGTATATTACATAATTTGAAACTACATGAAAATATATAATTTGCTACTAATGCTTTATTTTACCTAGATTTAGAATTTTTCTCCATTATGATTATTACCTTATCCAAGTACAGTACACTACAATGCAATGCAATACAATAATAAGATTCTGGATTGATTACAAA